GCGGGTGCTGTAGTCCCAGTTACTTGGGAGGCTGAGGCAGGAGACTCACTTGAGCCCAAGAGTTGGAGGTTGCTGTGAGCTATGATGCCACAGCACTCTACACAGGGGGACAGCTTGTCTCAAAAAAAAAAAATTAGCAATAATGAGGTCTAAATAGAGGCTGCTGTGAAAGGGGCAAGGATCTCTATCTTACCAAGAGGGTAAAGAAGTTTGGGTGTTTGTCTCCGCCAAAGAGTTCCATCTTCATGGGAGATCACATCATGGGGCTTGTGCTTATAAAGTTCATTGTAGAAAGACATCTTATCCAAGAAACTATATACCTGGCAACACACAGAAAGGAACCATCACACATTCACCTCTAACACATGCAAGGTGGTCCCCCATCTGCTCTTCTGGTCTTTTAGCCAGACTCTTAACTCCTTACAAGCCCACCACTCTCATTCTTCTTGGCATTGCCTTCTGCTCTCCTTGCAAAATCTTCACTATCCTTTAATACTTAATTCAAGTACTCCTCACTCCAAAGAGACAGCTACCTCTATAGTCTTACTGCTCAAATGAAATTTAACTATGTACTACCTACTTATTACCCATTTCTTTCTTTCTTTCTTTTTTTTTTATTTGAGACAGAGCCTCAAGCTGTTACCCTGGGTAGAGTGCCGTGGAGTAACAGATCACAGCCACCTCCAACTCCTGGGCTTAAGCAATTCTCTTGCCTCAGCCTCCCAAGTAACTGGGACTATAGGCATCTGCCACAATGGCTGGCTATCTTTTGGTTATAATTATCATTGTTGTTTGGCAGGCCTGGGCTGGATTCAAACCCGCCAGCTCTGGTGTATATGCCTGGCACCTTAGCCGCTTGAGCTACAGGTGCCAAGCCAGCCATTTATTTCTTTTCTTTTTCTTTTTTTTTTTTTGAGATAGAGCCTCAACCTATTCCCCTGGGTAGAGTGCAGTGGCATCACAGCTCACAGCAACCTCCAACTCCTAGGCTCAATCGAGTTTCCTGCCTAAGCATCCCAAGTAGCTGGGACCACAGGTGCCCACCACAACACCCGGCTATTTTTTTTTTTTTTTTTTTTTTGGTGCAGCCATCATTGTTGTTTGGCGGGCTGGGCTGGATTCCAACCCGTCACTTTTAGGTGTATGTGGCTGGCGCCTTAGCCACTTGAGCCATAGGTGCCGAGCCCATTTATTTCTTATACATACAATTCTCTTCCAACTAGATCTTTTTTTTTTTTGAGACAGAGTCTCACTACATTGCCCTTGGTAGAGTGCTATGCCATGGTACCAGAGCGCACAGCAAACTCAAAACTCTTGGGCTCAAGTGATCCTCTTGCCCCATCCTCTCCAGTAGCT